TTCTACTGTAAATCATTTCTTCCATTTGTATTATCTTGTCTTACCCCTCCTTTCCTCTTATATGTCATTTTGTATAACCCTGAGGATCGCCTTCCATTACCATGCGATTTCCCTTCTCACTTCCTTTCCCTCCCACCTCTCAACCCTGTTAATGTAAATCTTCATCTCAAGCTCTTCGATACATGGTCTCACTAAATTGCTTAGGGCCTCGTTTAATTGCTGAGGCTCGCCTGGAACTCCTCTCCCTGGGAGTCGCTGGGATTACAGGCATGCACCTTGCTGACAGGAATTTTTAGGTGCTGAGGAGAGACTGACACACCAGGCAGGGGACACAGCTTGAATCAGGACATGAGAAACAGCCTGGGTGTAGTCTGAGAATCCCAAACAACCTTGTGCTGCTGGGCTGTACAGTAAGGAGGAGAGGAGTCCCAGTTAGGACATCTAAGGATGCAGAAGTAGACAGACTTACAACACCCCCTCACCATGACCAATGCATGGAGGGTGGATTTTTGGAGAGCAAAACTAGATGTCAGGCTGTTGCAGTTGTTGAGGAGAGTTGGCAAGAAGAGGATAAGCTGGGCTAGGGAATATTTAAGACAATGGTTCTAAACTTTATGGACCCYTTGAGAATCTGATGACAGCTTGAATTACCCAGCCTTTGCTCTAGAAATGTTGGATATATACAACATATAACACTTTCCACCCAAGTTCAGGAACCACATAAGCAGACATCCAGACTTCCAAGGGTTAGGGACCACTGCCTAGGGGAAGGAAGAAAAGACAGGACCAGGTGCCTGATTAGAGGTAGTGGGCAAGAAGAGGGAGAATAATCTACATTCACCATGGAGTGACTGACTATCTACTGAGTACCTACTTTTGGAGATAAATTGTCTCTACTCCTACAGAACTCACAGTTGAATGGAGAAGACATACTAAACAAATAGTCACATAATTCACTGTTACAAACAGCTGCTAAACACAGACAGGAAAAGGATGGCATTTCCTTAAGGAGTAGTACAGTGTTTGAAAGCTACACTGAAGTCACACAGCCTGGGTTCAAATTCTGGCTTTGACTCTTATTAACTAAATGACCTTGGGAAAATTACATAACTTCTCTGTGTCTCTTTTTAAAAAAAATATTTATTATCTTTTAGTTGTAGTTGGACACAATATCTTTATTTCATTTTTATGTGGTACTGAAGATCAAACCCAGGGCCTCACACGTGCTAGGTGAGCAGTCTACCGCTGAGCCACAATCCCAGCCCTTCTGTGCCTCTTTCTTTATTTGTGAAATGGAGATGATTATAATTTCCATCTCCTAGGGTTATTATGGGGTGGGTGGTAAATGAGATTTTTTTTTCTTTTCTCCCTCTCTCTTTTCTTTTTTACCGTTTTGTTCTTGAGGTCCTGGGGATTGAGCCCAGGGCCTTGGGCATGCTAGGCAAATGTTCTACTACTGAGTTACACTCCTAATCTTTTTAATTTTTCTTTTGTGATGAGGTCTCACTAAGTTGCCCAAGCTGGGCTTGAACTTGCCTCAACCTCAAAAGTAGCTGGAAATACTGGCATGGAGGGATAAATGAGTTCTAAGTAGAAGTACTTAGAAGATCTCCTGCACACACGCATGTGTATATGTGTGTTCACTATTATTATCGAAGCACTTAACAGGAAGGAGGGATCTATCTTTTCTTTTTATTATTTATTTATTTATTTATTGTTTTAGTTGTTGATGGACCTTTTTTTTTATTACTTCTTTTAATGTTTATTTTTTAGTTTTAGGTGGATACAATGTCTTTATTTTATTTTTATGTGGTGCCCAGGATCGAACCCAGTGCCTCATGCATGCTAGGCAAGCGCTGTACCACTGAGCCACAACCCCAGCCCCTGGACCTTTATTTTATTTACTTATTTTTAATGTGGTGCTGAGATTCAAACCCAGTGCTTCACACATGTGAGGCGAGGGTTCTACCGCTGAGCTACAACTCCAGCCCCATCTATCTTTTCTTAGAGGACTGGAAAGTGTTCTCTGAGGAAGTGATGATTGGGAGGAAGCCTGGATTATAGTAGAAGGAAGGCTGGGGGACAAGAATCCTGGGCCTAGGGAGGGACCGATTCAAAGCGACTGAGACAAAAGGTACAGTTGAAAGAAGAGGCAAGGAAAGGCTTAGCAGGGACAAGAGGGTGAACCTGAACCGGGAATTGGGGAATGTAGAAGTCTGCAGAAGGTAGATTCCATATTAAGGGATCAGCCACATTTGGGCTCCTTCTTTTCAGCCTGAGTGACTGGATGCCAGTGACAGCGTAAGCCCAAAAGGGACAAGATGTAAAAAGGATTTTGCTGTGGCCTGTGTGAAGGCCCAGTGGGAGTGCCAGGGGGTATATGAGTAGATATGGGAAGAGCAGTTAAGGCATTCAGGAGAGGGCAGTGGAGCCTTCCTAGAGTTGGCGAGACGGCAAATTGCCATCAAGATGTGTTGGAGCAAGAGGGTAAAGGAGTGGCAGTGTTGGGACAGACTCTTGGGTATCTGTGTGAACAGAGCCTTTCTCTGAGATGGGAAAACCAGAGTGGGCCTGTATCAGGGGTTCACTTGATGCTTTGACTATATCCTTTGTGGCTTTGAAACTTAGATTTCTTTTTTCTTTTTCCCAATCTTCTTTTCCTTAAACTTTTGCTCCCTGGTCTTCTTCTTTTCCCTGATCTTCTCCTTCCTGATCTTTCCTCCCTGATCTCATTTTCTCTGAATCACTTCTATAAAAGTTCTGTTCCTGTGGATGGGCAGAATCACAGCCTTTGGGACAGGATTCCCCTGTGTTTCTCCTTTGCTGGCAAAGCAATAAGCCGTCTTACCTTTTTCTCAAAACCGAGTCCTTGTTGTTGAATTGGCATCAGGGACAAGGACCAAGCTTTTAGCAACAGGCCTTGATAGAGAGCGTTGAGGGAGGAAGGGTGGTGGAGGGGATGTGAACAGTGCAGGTATTATTTTAGACATCCTGAACTTGAAGTGCCTTTGGACATCAAGAGCAGATCTCCAGAGGCTACTGGAAATCTGGTTTGGGTTCAGCATCGAGGTCTGGGCTGAACATGGAGATGGGAAGTTGTTGACGGAAAGATGATCACCGGAGCTGTGGATGAGGATAAGCTTTCCAAGGGAGGAGGATGTGGAGTGAGAAGAGAAGGTGGTCCAGGATGGAGCTTGGAGACACACACACAGGGTGGGGCCTCATTTAGACTAGGAGCCAGAGAGAGAGCAGCAGAGATGTGGAGAAGCCAAGGGAGGAAAGAGCAAAGAGTCCAATGATGGGTGATGTTCTTTGAGGTCAGAGGTGAGGATGGAACCAGGGGCTCATGGGACTGCTTTAGGAAGTGCTACTTACTGGAGCGATGGAGGGGGTCTCATGGCCGTGGTCTGAGTGCAGGAGGAATGACGGAGGCAGGTCCTTTGAAAAGTTTCTTGTGACCAGGAAGGGAGAGATGATGGGACAGGATCCATGTGTGTAATGCGGGGAGGCGTGTTTTAAGATGAAAGAGACTTAAGTTCATTTAAAAACTGATGGTAAATCCAGCAGAGAGAGATTTTAATCAAGATTGTAGGAAAGAGGGGAGATAACCAGCGAGTGATGTTCATTCGGGAGCATGGGTAAGGGGAGGGGATCAGGTGCGTGGGTGGAGGGGTTGGTCTTGGAGAGGAGGAGGGATGACTTCTCTGGAACCCAAAAGCGGGAACAAAGAGAGA